TTCTTGTTCACAAAAATGTCACTGTTTCTCTGAAGTACGTTCTACAATGCTGCACCAATGTATGTAAATCTAAAAATTCTGAACTAATTTAATTTTAGGATGTTTAGTTGTAGGTGTTGATACCTGCAAATATACCTACAATACATAATTTTTATACATTATATTGTAAATTAAAGAATATTAATTTTTTGGAGGAAGTTAAGTGTACCTCAAGTAATTACTGCCTTAAAACAATGCTAAGTTATTACTAAGAAAAATACACACCAAAGTCTACTCTAAAAAAGTAAATGTTAATGAGAGATCTTAAATGATTGAACTACATTGTTTGAGGGTCACATAATATTAAATTTAACATGAAATAATAAATTTTTAAAAATGAAATGTTTTAGCTTGTATTTTAAAGGAAATGGACAATAACAACTATCAATAATTATTCTATGAAAAAAATCTTAATCAAATACACATGTACATTGTAATAATATAACAATGTATATAACAATTTGCCACTGTTTTGTTAAGACATAAAAAATATCTTCAGCTATCTAAATTCAATTTCATTCCAACCATACATGTATGTAAGATGAAATTAAAAGCCAGGAAAGTTAGTTAGAAACACTATTTTTTTTTTATCTTTTTATCTTTTTCCTTTTTATCGGTACCAGGGATCGAAACTCACTGCCTGCTTGCAAGGCAGGCGCTTACACCGCTGAGCTAAATCCCCAGCCCCAACACTATTTCTTAAATAGAAGCATGCTATTGAAAAGCAACAATGAAGCTATGTTTATTATGTAAGTATCTGGAATTCCTCACAACAGTTTGAAAGCTTTCTTCTCAGGACAGAGATAGCATAACACAGTGAAAGAAAGGAAATGCAGAGAGGGAAAAACAAACTATGAACAAATGCATATGTTTAAGAATGAGAATGTGATGCCTGGAGATGTAACCTATTAGCAGAGCATTTGCCTTGCAGGCCCAAAGTCTTGTGTTACTAAAACAGCAAACAGGAAGAAAGCAGAGAGGACAGAGAAGGAAAAAAGGAGAGAGGGTTGAGGGGCAAGAAACAAGGGGCAGAGGGAGAGATGGAAGAGGGCAAAAGAGAGTGGAAAGACACCAAAAAAGAAAGAGAGAGACAAAATCAGAGAGAGACAGACATGTATTTCTATTGGCTAGTGTACAGAACACCACAGAACAAAATTTGGACGAGTATTATAGCAAAATCATGGGTATAAAAGGTGATCAATATGGGAAATTCTGCCACAGAACCTGAAATTTTACCAAAAAATTACCAGTAACAAAAAAATGTCACAATGTTCTAATCAAGTACATAGGAAAAATACTTAATTGTTTATTATTTCATAAAATCTAAACTAGTCAGTACCAATATAATCTTTAAGATACTTCCTGGCTATCAGTATTGTATTAGGACAATGCCAGAGAAGACAGAAGAAAAGGTGTTAATGTGGCTTAGGACCTTAAAACAGTACTGAAACAATGACTTTAACTTTGGGGAGGAAAGTGGGAAAGGGTTCTATGCAAAAGGCAGGGTTGCACAAAAACAAGGAAAGCAACTGCATAACCGGTTTATGTACTCAGGAATGTCTTCTATTTCAAAAGAATGGTGACTAGCTGGGCATGGAAAGGAAGGTCCTGAATTCTGAAAGCTACTGAATATTGCTCTGCTACACACCAACAGTTTCCAGACTTTTGGATTCACAAAAAATTGGAGAACCATATCTAAAGGCTGCCAATTTTTATTAACAGCATTTGAAAACAAAAGTCTATCCCCAAAATTAACCATTTGCCAGCATTCTTTTATGAAGAAATGTCACCGAACAATCTGTAAGTAAATGTACAAATATTCATATCTAAATAGTTTAAAAATTAGAAAAAAATACTTTCTAAGAGTAGAAAAGTTGTAAGTTGAAAATAAATTCAGCCAGAGGAACACAAAATAAACATACAGTATCTAACATGTTCTAACATACTGGTTTTTGTATAGTGAACATTTTAGAAACCCAAATTGTCCTTTATGTGTTTGTATTAGTAGAGCTATATTGCTCTTTCAACTCAATCCAGAATATTTGAGGTAAACTTAGATAAGTGCAAGAAAATGACTCTCAATTACTCAGCTATTTCTCCTACTGTGAAACTTCTTCGTATTGATAAAAAGAAATAATTTAGAAAAGTTTAGATGTGTGGCCATGGAAAATTTTGGAAAGCAGGCTACAGATGAATATCCTCACTGTTCAAAACTGGTCAGGTGCCAGTATCTATAAGTAACTCCTTAAAACCTAAAACTGTCGGACAGTCATATGGGAAGTAATGCAAGCCTTTATAACATAACCTAACTTTACCTTTACTTTAATGTATCAGAAAATTTACTGTGGAATTTATAACATAGCTTTAATAACAACACAGTATCTATTACTACCATTACTAATTTTATTTCTTTTATTGTATCTTTGTGTATACATTTATACATTTTTGTAAATTTTGAGAAAATATATGCATAAATACAGAAAAAAGGTTTTTATCCTACAAGGAATGAAGATGCATATAAATTCTTTTGCAATTAGAGTTTAATGAGTTTTTCAAATTATAAAAGTAATACATGTTACAGAATACCAAGAAGCCAGGATTCTTACTCCTCAGTAACATACAAATTAAAACTGCAGGAAGAATAATTTTTTATACTATCAAATTTTTTTTAGTTATTTAAATATTTTTAAAAGCAAAAGAAAGTAAAAAAGAATTCCTCTAATAACACAGTACTCTTTCACCATAATTACAAGGCTTCCACTTATAGTTAACGTATTTATGCTATCTTGGAAGGTTTTCAAACTAGCTTGATACAATATTTGTAACATTAATAATATTTGGAAAACGAGGCTTTAAATTCATCCTATTTTCAACGATTATTAATCCTCACAAGTGATTATAATTGTCCTAAGTAATTAAGTTGAAGGAGGATTTAAAGAAAATACACTTTTTAACTTCAAACTTTTACATTATTATTGATGTTAGTAACAAAATATATAGGTTATTTTGGAGAAAAAGGTATGTGAGAGAAAGGATGGGCATTAAGATTAAGCAAATTCGAGGTCTCAGTGGAATATCTAGTTGTAGTTACCTACTTTACGCATCAACTCTTCTGGAATTCAGAAAACTAGGTTGAGCTGTTGTTATCAATAAAGTAGAAGCAGAAAACATAAATTAACCTTTCAAAATACATAAAGATGAGGGAAAGGCTGAAAAGCAGAAGAAACAGAAGGTACATTTAACTTCTGATCCAATTAGTAGATATGTCCTTTCAAAAGTGATCAGCAAACCTAGTATCATTTTCCAGTGTATATTGTACACACTTCAATGTAGCATGTAAAACACTGAATTTCAATGACAGGTTTTTAAGGTGTTTTCCCATTAGACTATAAGCTCCTTGGAGATAATTAATGATTATGTCTTTTAAATCATGACACTAAGGATGCAAATATTCCTTAACAGAGTGTATCAGGGAACACACAATTTTATTCAACAATTCTTTACATCTAAACAAAGCTATTTAAATTATAGGTATAATGTGTGGCCAAGGAATAGATTTTAAGTTTCCAACAAATATTTTGGTTTGGTTTTTTTGGGGGGGGTGGGTATCGAGGATCAGGCAGGTGCTTATGCTGTTGAGCAAAATCCCGGGCCCCTCCAACATCCTTTTTACTGTTCATCTTTGGACAGCTTTAAATTAGCGCAATTCTTCTCAAATATCATTCTTCAGAACATGTTCTACTTCACTTTGAAGCTACAAGTAATAATGATACCAGTGACAACAGTAATACCTAGAATGACATTCTTCCTCTTCTTTTTTTGCAGCAAGGTAGAGTCAAAGACCCCTTTAACGCTGACCCCATTATCTACCAGCTCTTTGTACTACACTCTTCTCAAAATGCTGGTGTTTTACTGTTCTTTTATCCTGCTGTTATGTGCCATTGTTCAGAAAGTTTTATTTCCATTATATAACTTAATTCTTGCAAGAACAATAGAGTGCTATCATTGATTCAATTTTACTAAACATAAACTAAGATTCAGAGCCACACAGTACTGTACAAAGGCCATAGAGTAAATTGAGGAACTAGGGTTCAAACTCTGTGAGCTTCTATAAGCTTAACTATTGATTGTAACTGCCTTTACTCCAAGAAACATTATGTAGAAGCATAGGAGACAATGAAGGAATGGGCACAGGGGACAACAACAGAAGGGGCACAGGAAAGCTTTCTTGATTTTAAAATAGAAAGTAAATACAAAAGGCAGCTATACCTATAGACTACCTAAAATGACACCCCAAGCAACTGTTCATCTTGATATTAAATATCTGTTTCTGAAGCTCATAAACAGAACATTTTTAAAAAGAAATGAAGTATCATTTAACCATCAGTTAACTTTTTCAAAGCCATTCTGGAATGTGTAAGTTAAATCTTGACCACAGTGAATTCGTATTTGCCTCCTCACACTACTAAAGAGCTGGTAAAGCAGAAGACACCAGTGTCATCAACATGTAGTTCAGTATTTCCCCACATTTTCAATGTTTTTTCAGTTAAGGATTCTCCTATTACAAATGCCATATAAACTACAAGAAAATTTATTTAATAGAAGTATGGCTCTGAGTTCAAAGGAACATTTAGACATCATAGTTTAGTAGACACTTTATCCTAAGGAGAAACTATACAGCAGTCCTGAGAAGAATGGGTTAGAAAAGCCAGAGTTCCTCATTCCAGTAGCTTTTTCAAGTTCTTTATTTTCAAAATTCTGTCAGTCACTAGCATTGGCTGTGCAAATGTCATTTTAAAAATGAGTAAAGAGAAATCATATATTGAGAATCTTATTAGAAATTGTGGATGCAATATCTTTATATTATTTTGCTAGTATATATTCCTCTAGAAGAACAAACCATGGCATGAGTAATATATACATTACCAGAAACTAAAGTAATCAGAATAAAGAAATCATACCTTCTATCAATAGCTCTTGTCCATGACTGCCAAGAAGTGTACGAGATAGGAATGGGGCAAAGTCTACAAAAATTTCACGAAGAAGAGGAGCAACTTTTTCTAAAGCTCTTTCAAGTTTTGCAGTGATGCTGTTGAAATTAAGACACAAAGACTAATAAATATAATTCACTATAAAATATCAAATAAACTCTACTTCTAACTTTAAGTTTTTAAAAGCCATAAAAGTCCAATTTTAGTCCATAGAAAATAGAAACAAGCTTCACTATAGATGTGATACTGTGCAGCTTCACATACTGTTATAAGGCTCATCAAAAGATGCAGGTAATTTAGAATGACTATAATGTGAGCAATTAGTTCTCCCATCTGAAAAGGCTAAGGACTGTTCAGAGCTATAGGATTTCCTAGAAAATGAGTTCTTACATATTTCCTGTAACTATCCATTAAAAAACTGGTTTGAACAGCTATCACGCTGTCACTGTGCCAGTTACAAAGAATTTAATTCCTGCTCTCCAGAAGGTATTTCCTGAGAAGTTGGACACTAAGTAAATGAAATTCAGTTGAACTGTACTTTGCCAACGAAGGTATATTTATCATTTCAGTAAGCCCACTTTTATGAATTTTTACGTTATTATTTGTACTGCTAACTATTGCATTTCAAATTGATGGCCTTATGCAAGTACTGTTTGGAATTTTCTTGCAGGGTGGGGTATAGGGAATTGAGCTCAGGGCCTCCTGCTTGCCAGGAAGAAACTGTGCCCCTAAACTACATGCTGGTCCCTGAAATTCTTAAAATTCTATGAATATTACAATGAAAAGAAAAATATGTTAAGTAAATACTTCTGGTTATGTAAGTAAATAACTTGATAACCCATCTATTTCTTTTAGGAGTGCACTGGAATAAGACAGATTACACTGGAATCCCGGGTCTACTACATGCTTAGCAGCACAAAGATATTTAACTGTAGAATAATCTGCATTGTGGTGCTAATATTTAAAACTCAATTCTGACATCTTTTTTATTTTTTTTTAAATCTATGTAGAGACTACACAATAATGTAGAATCCTTGCTTTCCTCACTTAGAAACCTCATGTTTTGAATCTCTCATCAGCCAAAACCTGACCACTAGCCCTTCTATCTAACTTTGTCTTTTTTCCTTGGTAAACAGCTTTAGAAAAAGAACAAACTGTAAAATTACTTTTCCATTTTTATTGCATATATGAAAAAATTTCTGCTAACATATAAAAATAAATTACAACCATGTTAACTTAGAAGGACTTCATGGCTTAAATCCTAGAAAAATGGATTTTTACTCTCAAAAAAAGGAACACATAACAACCAGAAAAGGGTCTTCTTTGGCAAATTATTTTGTAGATAAAGTAGTATATTTTTATGGCTTTAGGGAAAAATTAAGTAGTAATTTTTCAGTTCTCTTTGAAAGTTTACTTTCACTTATTCAAAACACCATGATCATGAAGTCTAAGACACTGCCCAAAGAAATAATACAAAGGTGCACGGGCATGGTTGAATTTCAGTGGTGCAATGCCTGTCTGGCTAGCACAAGGCCCTGAGTTCAAATCCCAGTATTAGGGAGGAAAAAAGGCACACTACCTAAGAGAATTTTCTTCTATGAATAAAAATGTAATTAATTCATGGGAGAAAAGAATGTATGAAAACCCATGGATAAAACTGTTATCAAATCTTACCAAACATAGGATTTGGCCTCCAGATATATCCAAGACCATGGTGGTTATAAATGTATGAATTAGTCTGGAAATACTTTCATATCCTATCATTTAAATAAATACATTTGTAAACACAGTTCTTAACAAAGTTTTGATGCTTTTTCTGTTGCATATTTTAGAAGTCTACAAAAATATCCCAGTATTTAGAATACTATTTACTGCAAATTCTGGTTTATTTATTTTTACTTTTTATTTATTTATTTTGGTCTTTCTTGAGGCAGGGTTTCATTTATTGTTCAGGCTGGCCTTGAACTCACTTTGCAGCCCAGGCTGGCCTCAAATTCAAAGCAATCCTCCTGCTGCAGTCTCTTGAGTGCTGGGATTACAAGCACATGCCACCATGCCTAGTTTGCAAATTCTATTTTAATAAATTCCTTTATAATTGTGCTACTTCACAGAATTACAATCTTCATTTCTGATTTTATTTTTTTTATTTTTCTAGGTTCTTGGTACAACCTTATAAATAAACAATAATTTGATTTTTAAATATTTTAAAAAGTAAAATAAAAATATACTGTGAAGTCATATACCTAAATGATACAGAGTTCAGATGTAAAGGAATGACGTTGCTGAACTCTATGAGAGAGTTTTTTACTATGAAATATTACTATGTAAATTTAAAAAGCAAATAAGTAAATTAAATGATTTGCTTAAGTACATGTAGAAGAAAAGACAAGATTTGGAGAGTAGTAATGATAGATAAAGTATATAAAATTAAATTATTATCCAGTCACATAGAACCAGTAACTGACAATCGTTGACCTTAATTTGGTTTCACTACATTTAGTTTTTACTAAATTTGTAATATGACATGTAGTTCAACAAACTAGACAGAAGATAAGAAAATCTATCCTAAATTTTGGAATTTGTGATACAGTAATCCACTGACAGTTTCTAGAGTTCAGTCCATTAAGCAAAACAAAATGCTAAAAAAAATAATTCTTGCTCATATTTTCCCCATGATCATATATATTTAAAACTGACATTTTGTACTTACTTGATTTATACAAAATTACATATATTTTCAAGTGCCAGATGTACATATTAAAAAAGTAGATGAAATTACAGAAGATTAGGAACTTAAGCTAAACTAAATTCTTCCTTTATATGGCAAATTAAATTCCAAGTAAACATTTTTGAAGTTTTATGTAATAGGATTCTTTCTGGCAATGTCTTTAATTATAAAAGCTTTTTGGAAATTTTTAATTGCATCTTTTGCACACAGATTGAAAAGAATATGGAAAAGCACTCCTTTTTAGTCACTTAGTCAAATAAAATGAAACAAAATCAAAATACAGTGAAATAAAAACACAAAATACAGAATATAAGTCATTAAGACTAACCAACTCATCTAGTGATATAAAAGGTAAAGCTAATTGCTTGCTAAGTAACTGAAATTAAAATAGACATTTTACTACCACATAAAAACTTTAATAAATTGTAGAAAATGAATATAATAGAGCTATGGTCTGTCACTGAGATCACTCTTTAGAATAGAGAACTTCAAGCCCTACAAAGTTCTGAGGACTACACAATGACAGTTCACAACCCTCCTCGGGAGAAAGCTACTTTAACCAAGGTCCAGTCCTTCATGAAGAGCAGTCTGTAGTCACACCGTGGTCAGAGAGGGGATAAAAACATCTAGCTTCTAAGGACCTCACTCTTCTTCAGACAATTTACTTTTTCTTCTACAGTAATTGGCTCATATAATTTTTTTTTACATATAGGTTAAAAACAATTAATTTACATTTGAACTTTTAAGAAGAAAATTCAGGACTTCTACAGTAAGATAAAGCTAGAGTACTCCCATAATGATCATGAGAAAAAGCCAGATAATCTATCATAACTGTTAGCAGCTATCAAAGTTGAGGTTTTAGGCAACCAACTAACCCCCAAATCTGAAACTTGAAGAAACACAGGAACCCCTGAGGAGATATGTCAGGTAAAACCTTGCCTGAGTGAAGCAGAATGCAAGAGAAAGAAACATGGGATAGCATATAAACTGGCAAGACAATTTCAGGTTAAGTTTTAAATCAATTTCTGAAGTTAGAGTGTGAGTAATATAAGGACAGAATTCTCAGGATTCCAGACAGAAGGAGAGTTTTGCAGTAACTTTCAGGATCTTCTCCACAAACCTCACTAATATTGGTGAGGAAGACTAGAGGCAGCATGACAACTTTCCTTCATGTTACAGACTGAAGGCGGGAGAAGTAAGTACTCCAAGAAGGGCACAAAGCACTGTCTGGATCCTTCTTCCTATGTCCCCTACAGGACAGATAAAAGTTAGGAATCTAGGAGAAAGACTCTGTCACTTTCAGGACTTAGAAGAAGGCCCATTTTGGGGGGTGGGGGAGAAAAGTCTTCAGTGCCAATGAGAGACAGGGAAAGGTCCTGTGCACCTGTTTTGATATCCAGATTCCCAACTGCTCGGAGGTAGGCAGAATTATTGGGAATGCCCTGACCTTCAAGAGCCAGGGCAATAGATGACGGAGTCTGAAGCAAGAAAACAAAGCACCCTATGCTCCTAAAAACCAGTTGTGAATGCTCACAATAACCAGTAATGGTAGCTCACTTTTAGAGAAGGATCTCTAGTATGGTGAACCTTTCTGAAGTAAGAGATCAAACAACTTAAAGGAAGAACAAGAATACTAACAAACTAACTAACCAACAAACTAACACAACACAAAATAAAAGTAGAGCGATTTAAAGCCTATGATGGACCAAGAAACTAAAACAATAAGAAAATACAAACACTGCTCAATTTCAGGCAAGAATGACTCAACTGTTGCCCCTGGAAGGCCTAGGGCAAGTAGTGGCAGTATTGTGAGTAACTACTATCCTATATACAATAGACAGTTTCAACCAAAATGTTTAAGACACACAAAGTAGCAATGAAACAACAAATAGAGATAAACTAACAGAATCAAAATCGTAGATGAATCAAATGTTGAAATGATCAAACAATAAGAAATAACTAAGATTAACAAGTTCAAAATTGGTCACTAGTTGAAAAGACAAGACACCATTCATAAAAAGTAGGAAATTTCAGCAAAAGTAAAAAAAGTACGTATAAACTGTTTCTTTTTAAATAAGAACCAATACTGGAAAGGAAAAATAGACTAAGAGAAAAAAAAAATAAGCCTTTAACAGGATTATCAAAGCACTCAAAGTCAAAAAAAGAATCAGTAAATTTAAAGATAGGCTAATATTCAGACTCACATATTTACTGCAGCAATAATCATGAAAGCCAAGGAATCAAACTGTCTCTTAACAGATAGGTGGATGAAAAGGATGAGGTAAATAAATGCAATAAAATACTATGTTGCCACAAGGAAATATGAAGTCCCACATGGGTAACAACATGAATGCACATGGAAGGTATTAT